GCTACTCTCAGAAATATTCTACTTGGAGTGGGAAATCATCTTGGCAAGAAGTACCCAGTGTAGTATTCTAGGAATCAGTGCTTGGTCCTGTGACAACATTTTTAATAACACTGATAACATTTTTATCAATGACTTGGATAGTCATAGAGGGTAAGCACATGAAATATGTAGGTCACAGAAAGCTGGGAAGGACAGCTAAAACACAAGATAGTAGCAACAGGATCCAAAAGGTATTGATAGCATTATGTTAATCTAGGGTAGATAATTTTTTTTAATGTTTTGATAATTTTATTTCAGTGTAATTGTTTTCCTTTGTAATCCTATGTATTTTATTGTAGAATCTTAAAAACTTACTTATGATAAGAGATTCATAAGCTTCATCAGACTATCAAAAATTTATGACACAAAAGGTTAAGAACTTAGGAACTGGAGCATTAGACTAAAACAAATAAAATTAAATTCAATAGGGATAAATATAAAATCAAATTTGGGAACAAAAACCAATTTCACAAATATAAAATGGAGAGGCAAGGTTAGATAGTATTTTTTTTCTAGAAAGGATTTGGGGGTTCTAATGGACTACAAGATAATTGAGTCATTAGTATGACAGCCAAAATAACTAATACAATATCAGGCTACCTTAACAGTATCATACCTTCCAGGGACACAGAGGTGCTATGCCAATTGTATTCAGATCTTGTCAAGCCTCATCAACATTATTGTGTTCAGTTCAAGACGAATATTAATGAACTGCAAAGTTTCCAGAGAAGAGCAACCAGGGTAAGGAAGGATCGTGATTCTCTCATCTGAGGATTTGTTGAAGGAACAGGGGATGTTTAGCCTTAAAGAAGGCTCAAAGATTATATGATAGCTGTGTTCAAGTACTTGAAAGACTGTCATGTGGAGGATAGAGTGAGGGCTGAATGTGGAACTAAGAGTGGATATTGCAAAGAATTAAATTTAAGCTTGATATCAGGAAAAAATGGATCATACCTTCCCCATCTTTGGAGGTCTTCCAACAGGTTGGGCAATCACTTGTCATGTATGTTAGAATGCATGTTTTGGTGTATGATTTGGACTATGTGACTGTTGATGTACCTTTTCACTTTCAAATTTTGTAATTCTATGGTTAATCACACATGTAGATAAAATAATTTATTTTTGAACAGTTGTACTGGCATGCTAACTCATCTTTTGTAGGCTCACTGAAAGCATTTTCAAGACCCATTCTAGTTGCAGAAAGCATGACAAGATTGATACATAACTCCTCACATACTCATATGATTTTGTTTTCTTCTGTTAGGGCTCTAATTTGGAAAGCTTTCCATTCCACATAGCTTGGAGGTTATAAATATTTGGCATGACATTATCTAGAAAAATAATTTTATCTTAAATTTTTTTATGTATCAGTTTTATATGCACATTATTTCAGGCAAGTTAGATCAGTAATAATTGTCCAGTTTTAGTATAGTTTCTTGAATTCTCAAAGATATTCGTAAAACAGATATTTGTCATGTATCTTTGTTAAGCTTCTGATATGTAATTCTAGCCAGCATGATATTTTTTTGGGAAGTTGGTAGGTGATACATTTTTGCAGCCAGCAGTGACATTTTGCATGATTTCTAACATTTCCTTGCGTAATCTATATTGAGTAATGTCTGAATTTCTTAAGGATTCAGTGTCAGGAATTTCTGGTAATGAAGATGTGGCCCTAACTTGCTATTATAAACTGCTGATTCTATAAATAAGTTTGCATGGCTTAGCTATTTGATCAATGATTTTAAAATACACATAAATGTGTATACATATGTATGTATGTATGTGCATACACACACACACATATATAATTGTTGAATGTCACTCATGGAAAGCCTTTTGATTCTGCTCTTGGATCTTAATTATTTCATAGACTTCATCTGGAGATAACCACTTTAATATCATTTGACAAACCTACTGGTGTGTACTTATTGTCACTGTTTTCTGTTGTCCAGTAAAGTGTTATCTGTTTAGTCCACTAATATTTTTGTAAGTTTTTAACCTGATCATATTAAATAATATTTGTAAAAAGCAATTAGCACAGTGCCTGACATAAAGTAGGCACTATATAAATGATTATTTACTTCCCTTCCCTTTGTTTCTCACGTGCTTCAAGAAAGTCTATCAATTTTCTTCTTCCTTTTTTTTATATTAAAGTGTTAATCATTCCATAATTGTCTTCAGGTGATGAGCCCTACATTTCATTAATATTGTGTAGGTTTTAGTTAAGATACTTTCCAATTATATTATGGTCTATTTTATAGCTTCCAAGATGTGTGTTGATAAGGCATTTGTTGTTATTTGCTTTACCCAATTCTGCCCTCTCAGCTTTGATTTTTGTATGACAATAAGTCTCTTGACATAGACTGCCTCAGCTTTTTCCTCCACGACATTTTGCTTCGTGTTTCTTACCTGAAGAATGCTAAGGTATGTCTCCATTCATTCAACTGCGTAGATCAAGAATTTCATATTCATTGGGTCCAAATGACATTTTGTTCTTATTAAAGAAAGTTCCATAAGACAGAGATGGTAATTTTTTTTTGGTAGAGAAACATCATTTGATGTCATGCATTTACATCAAGTAATCAATAAAGTATTTTGGTACAACTCCTTTCATTTGGAAGAGGTTCTGCTTAGGAGAGCTGATAATGGGTCTAACTTGATTCTATTTATGAGAGGTGGTAATAGTTTTAAAACTAGGAAGATCCACAAGGGCTTTAACCTGTCCCTCAGAAATACACTACAATTTACATCAGTTCCATTTTTTTTTTTTGCTTTTTGGTGAGGCAATTGTGGGGTAAAATGACTTTCCCATGATCGCACAGCTAGTTAAGTGTCAAGTGTCTGAGGCTGGATTTAAACTCAGGTCCTTCTGACTCCAGGGCTGGTGCTCTATCCCCTGCACCACCTAGCTGCCCTTGGTAATGTGTTTTAAAAGAAGACTGATTTTGCATGTTGAAATCCTATACCTAGTATTTCAATTGATAATAATTATAATGATAGTAATATTATTACCATCTATTAATCAGTATTGGGATGAGGAAAACACTTTCTAAATCTTAAAGTGCTTAGGTAAATGTAGCTCATTATTGATTGTCATTTGACCCATCACTTAGGGAATTTCTAATAATTTAAATAAAATACACAGGGTTTGATGTTGTTAAAAAGTTAATTATATATAGTACAGTTGGGGAAAAACAAAAGCTTGGGTACAGCTACATAATGCTGATCTAAGGCACATTCAGTTTTTGATTCAGCATTTAATTTGTTCATTTCTTGTTGTTGCAAGGTCATGAATGGGATCAGGGAAAATGGTTTCATTCATCCCAAGATTAAACTGACCTTGCATCATTAAATTCTTTTCTTCTAGAGGGAGAAAAAAAAGAAAGAAAATTAAGTAAACATAATACTGAGAAATGTTCATGTTTTCATAGGTTTGTAACTTCTACTCAATTTTCTTTTTTTTCTTTTTTTGGCAATTGGGGTAAAGTGAGTTGCCCAGGGTCACACAGCTAGTAAGTGTTAAGTGTTTGGTTCTGAGGCCAGATTTGAACTCAGGTTCTCCTGAATCCAGGGCCGGTGCTCTATCCACTGTGCCACCTAGCTGCCCCCCCCCTTTTTTTAAATGTAAGGCTCTTTATTTATTTACTTATTTTTGGTGAGGCAGTTGGGGTTAAGTGACTTGACCAAGGTCACATAGCTAGTAGTGTCAAGTGTCTGAGGCTGGATTTGAACTCAGGTCCTCCTGACTCCAAGGCTGGAGCTTTATCCACTGCACCACCTAGCTGCCCCCCCTCAATTTTCTTAATAAATTAATCCTCCCCTGAAGAAAATATCAGGTCTATTATTACTAGAATTATTTTCTAATTCCACATTATAAACATTGAGGATAAATATATGTGGACAGAAGAATTTAGCTCAACATAACTCATTTAGGTGAAATAAAAATGCTTCTGTTTCATCAATGAATTATTAGCTATAGCAGATATTCTAAAAATAAAATAATTATAATTTGTTTCTTATTTTAAAATGTATTTAGATATTATTGCTATTATTAGAAAATTTAGAAAAAAGTGTGTCCTATGAATTGGTCTTGAAGTATTTTAAAAGATAATATGAACACAAGTTGAGTCATTTCAGTCATATCTGTATTTTCCATTTGGGGTTTTCTTGGCAAATATACTGGAATGATTTGCCATTTCCTTCTCCAGCTCATTTTACAAATGAGGAAACTGAAGTAAACAGGGTTAAGTGACTTGCCCAGAGTCAATCATCTAGTTAAGTGTCTGAGGCTGAATTTTAACTCATGAAGATGAGTCTTGCTATTTCCAAGCGTAGTGATCTATCCACAACCTAACTGCCTCCTAATATAAACAACATTCATTTATTCATTGAACAAATATAGATTGCAGATCCATTCAAGGCATTCTTCTAGAATCAGTGGTGAATATCAAGATGAATAAAGGGAGATTCTTGATGTTTTGGAAGTTGGAAAACCACAAAGTACCAAAACTGATTTAGAATCTGGCTCTGCTATTCAAGATAGGACATATACACAGATAATTGGGTTATAAGATAAAAGACAGTTTCCATATGAATTTTATAAAATATTATGAGACAGCATGGCAGAAGAAAATTTACCTGGGTGGTGGTAGGGATCAAAAATACTTCTTGGAGGAGTTGACATTTGAATTATTAGGCTTTGATAGGAGGATAGAATTTCAAGCAGTAGAAATGATGGGAAGGGAATTCCAAGTAAAGGTGAGAGCATAAGCAAAGAAATAGAGCTGAGGGAGTGTAGGGTTTAATGAAGGAGGCAAAAAGAGTAAAATTTAGGTGGAGCTTTTGATATGTAAAGACTGGAGACAGCTGGGTAGTGGGAGATAAGGCAGAGCAACTATAAATTGATGACATTTCATAATTAGAAGGGCTCTTAGCAATCAACAACTTAAGCTCCATTTTATAGTTGACTTTACTAAGGCATAAAAAGGTTAAATGTTTTGAGCTAATTTATGGTAGAACCCATGTCTCCTTATGTTAATTTTTTTTTCTTCTATTAGACACCAATTAGCTGGGACCAAATAGTGTATAGCCTTGAATGACAGGCTTAGTACTTGCCTCTTTATTAAGGCAATTGGAAGTAATCCATTTTTGATCAGGAGACTGTCAGTTACAGCTGAACTTTAGAAATATTAATCTGGCTGCCGTGTACAAGAAGAACTGTGGGTGAAAAAGACTGGAGGTGGAAAGACCATTTAGGAGGATACTAGTCAAGGTAAGAGTTAATGAATACAATCTAAATTAGAATGACTGCAAAGAGAGTGGAAAGCAAGGAATAGGTAAGATTTGCAAGGATTGTGTGATTAATTGGATTTGGGGATTAGGAAAGAGGGAAAAGACAAATTATGAAACTGCAAGCCTAAGTTAATGAGGCAAAGATTGTACTTTTAATATGAACATAGAACTCAAAGGGAGATACTAACTGGTATGTGTGTGTGTGTGTGTGTGTATATTGAAATTAGGGTAGAGATTATTGGATCAGCTATTTCAGACAATGCTCGGAAGCGGACACATTATGTCTCCCAATCTGGGAATGTTTAATATCATTTTCTTTGCTTATGACAGTTTTTATTATGTTCAGACCAAGGGAGATAGGATATATTTTATCTAGAGGAAGGCATCCTCTTCCCTACCTCTTCCCCTAAATCCAACATATTAGATATATTCCATTATGTGATCTTTAGTTAGAATATGAATGACCATTGAACAGAATGGATTGTTATTTGCCTCATTGGAAGGAATATCTACAATGATTATATCACAAATCTATTTAAGCATAGAAGCATACTAGGTAATAATTTTCTTTTTGCCTAGATCTTAAGTGAGAATTCCACATACATACACACGCACACAGACACACACACACACACATACACACACATGCAAAGAGTGCATAAGCAGGAAGCTGATCTTGTAATATTTACAAGTATTACTCAATAAATGTGTTTTCTTTTTTTTATCCTCAAGGACAAAGAGGAAAGTCATGAAAGTTGCTTGATCTTTAAATGTAGACTGTATAAATGAATTCCTATTATTGCTATTTTACTTTCATAGTTGAATTAAGTTCTAAACAGAAGTTTTCTCTCTGTTAGGAATGCAAATCTTGTAGTTTACCCTTGGCTATTATTTATAGTGTGACATTTCTTAAACTATGCTATAAGTCTTACATTAACCCATGATATGATTATGCATGTTTTCTTTTTTGTATAGGTTTTATTGTTCTATATCAAGATCTTGATCCATACAGCTAATATATTGAAATAATTTACTATTCTCTATGGCGAGATACTAAGACAAATGCATTTTGCACAACACATAAGCTTTTATGTGTTCATCAACAGATGTTATTTTACACATCTTGTTATATAATAATAATAATAATAATAATAATAATAATAATATAAAATCTTATATTTGTAAAACTTCAAGTTATTTTTACATAATTACCCCAATTTAATCTTTGTTACATTTGACAGTGTTGATCTAAGTTGACATGTCAAATTTGTTGATGATATGGAGCTGGGAAGGAGAACAAATAGATTGTATTGCATATATAATTTGTATATATATAAGAATATTTGTATATATGTACATATATATTTGTACATATAAGAAGACATTTCATTAGGCTGGAAATTTTACACTTGATTTAAAAAGTTTTCTTTGGAAAAAGATCTTGCAGTTTTGGTGGCTTATTTAGCTTAGTATAAGAGAACAGTAAAACATTTTAACCAAAGAAATGTAGTAACAATTTAGAATGCCTCAGGCAGTATAGGATCCAGAATGAAGGCAGTTGAAGTTACCTTATAATCTTTCCAGGTAAGTTTTGTGTTCACATCTAGAAAGGGGTTGTTTTCTTCCTCAGAACTCTTTTAACAATATTCACTTGGCACTAATATATTGTTACATATTCTAATAATTATCTGTATACATGTCCTAATTTCCTGACTTGCTTGTAAGTTCCTTGAGGGCAAAAATTGTATTATGTTTCTTTGTGCTTCCTCCTACAGTTATTTGCAAACATAACAGGATGTTAAAATGCTTGTTGATTGAATGAAACAATCTGAACCAGGTTAGGGCCATGATAAGTAATCACAGCTTTTCCTCTTTCGTCTCAGTGAAGGTCAGGATGTATCTTTGTTCTTAGTTTGTTTTCTTTGGTGCAATAAGTTCAAGGCTAAGCAATGGGGATACAAAAAGAGACAAAAGACCCTCTTACTTCATGAAGCTTATTGTTTGATGGATTCATCATAGCAAAGGCTTAGTCTCCTTAATGTGGACCTTGAGATCTACTAGAGCTCAGTTCTAACCCACTGAAGACTACATGCTGAAAAAATAAACCAGTCAATCTTATCTTTGCCACACAGGTTCCCCTCTATGCCCCTCCTCTTTATACCTCTCCCCTCCACTAACAAAATTTTGGAAAAGTTCCAACTTTGTTTGCTTTAGATATAAGCAGTCTAGGCTGAATCAAATGCTATGAAAAAAATAAACCAATACTCCCTAAATTATTACCCTCAGTTGTGTAAGCTATTGTTGAGATTTAATGCATACACATTTAATTCACACCAAGGATGTTGTATGCCCATAATAATGTTTTTCCTTATTAAACCTTTAAGTGTGGAATGTAACCTTTTCAGAGGTTAGTTGAAGGTTGAACTAAGTCTGATAGGAAAGTTAGATGATTAAATTCAATGCTTTCATGGTATTATAAGGGGTAAGGTCTTGAGTATTTTATCATGTAGTTAGTAACACAAAGTACATTTTTCTTCCAGGGCAAACGCTGCAAGAATGTCTCTAGGTATATTGGATTTCTTTTCTAAATCTTAAAAACTTCTATTACTCAAATAGCAGGCTTTTTTTACCTCCTAAAAATCCAAGCTACTCTGATTTTTAAGAGCACGTTTGTAAACCTATTTCATTCAACTAGACAAGGCTTGTAAAAAATGCATTTTAGAAATGTTCTTCTATAGCCATTAACCTATTATATTAATTTTTAGCTTATTTTGGCTTTAAAAATATAAATGTGGAATCATTTTAGAAGAATTTCAAGATTCAGGGTGAAATGGAAAATGTTGGCACAGTGTCTCCAAATACAATCAGTTTGGTTTCCTGGAGAGGCTTGACATGCCACAAGGTTATTTTTTTCAACTCTTACCAGTAATTGGATTTATTTTCTTCCTGAATTTGGGTTCAATAGCTCAGGCAAAGAGATGAGCCGTTCTCTAGCTAGAATAGGCCTTTGGGAAGAAAATACATTCCATGCTGTGCTTTTGTTTGTAGCAAATGTCAAGGCTGTTACTAACTGAAGACAAACCTATAGTATTTTGGGACATCAAACTGGCAACAGATAGAGGCATCTTGCTGTAGAAAGAAAATTGAAGCTGGAAATAAGAAAGCCCTATAGTGTACTGTTATATTTAGTAAATGTTAGCTTTTGTGAAAGTCATATTTTGTGCTGACCGATATATAATATGATATAGATTTTTCATCAATTCTTCTTTTCCTCCTTCTCCTTCTTCCCTTTAATTCCTTTTCTCCCTTACCTCCATCCCTTTTTTCCCTCCTTCTGTCCCTCTGTCTTTCCATACCTCCCTCCTTCCCTTCCTTCTCTGCTTCCTTCTCTCCTCCCTTTCCTACTTCCTTCTTTCTTTTCTTCCTTCCTTCCCCCTTCCTTTCTTCATTCTTTCCTTCCTCCCTTCTTTCTTTCTCCTCTCTCTTCTTTCCTCTCTCTTCCCTTCCCTTCTCTCCCCCTGTCCCTCCATTCTTTTCTTCCTTTCTTTCTTCTTTCCTTCCTTCCTCCCTCCCTCCCTTCTTTTTTCCCTTCTCTCCTTTTTTTCTTGCCTTCCCTCCCCCTATCCCTCCATTCCTATCCTTCTTCCCTTCTTCATTCCTTCTCTCCCTTCCTTCCTCCTTCATGATAGGCAGTATGGTATAGTGGGAAGAGTACTGCCCTGGGAATCAGGATACCTGGATTCTAATCCCAACTCTGTGATTAGTGACAAAGAACTTCAACCCCTCAATGACTCAGTTTCCTTATCTGTAAAATGAGTGATTTGGACTTGATTGTCTCTAAGACTCCTTCTAGCATTGATACTCTGTGATTCTAAGTATTTGAGCTGAATCTTAAAAGATTGGTGGGGTTTTGATAAGCAGGGTGAAATAAAGAGGATATTCCAGGTAGTGAGAGGGGCATGGGCAATGGATGGAAGGTAGGAATATATAGGTTTTGTATAGGGACATTTGTGATGTGATTTTTTCAAAAATGTAGATATAACCATGTCATTCTCCTACTCAACAACCTTCAGTGGCTCCCTGTATCTCTTGTCTTTGTGCCTTCAGCTTGGTTGTCCTCTAGTCCATTCTTGTATTTCACTTCTACTTTACTTCCATTCCTTAGATTCCTTTATTTCCTTCAAAACTCAGCTAAAGAGCCACCTTCTGGATGAAACCTTTCCTCATCCTCCCAGCTACTAGTTTCCTTTTCCCATTTATTTCATATGCATTTACATATTTTCTTTCTCCCTCTTCAATGTGAGCTTCTTGAGGACGGGGATTCTTTTAGTTTTGTCTCAGAATCTCAAGTAACTTGTACTGTATCTGGCACATAAGGCCATGTGTTTAATAAATGCTTTTTGAATGATTGATTGATAAGGGAAGATAAGGCTGAATATTGGTATTTGAAGTCACTTTTCTGTTGAAAATGTTTAACATGCACATTTAATTCATTGAACAGTGAAATAAAGGGGAGTAGAGAAGGGGCCACAGGGCCTGCTTTCCCTGTTTCTATTATTCTCTTTGTGTTTCCCAGTGTTCCCTGCACATTGTGATACATAAGAGGAGTGCTCTCAGTTGTTAGCAATAAAGCTGTTTCTTAGTTTGGAGGATTATTTAGGCACTGGTAGACCCTGAGAAATTTATAAACTAGCAGGCTCATTTTGAGAGTGGGGGAATCAGAGAAGATGCTACCTCTGGGCATACATGACAAACAACACCAAATGGTGACAGTGTAGAATGGCGGAACGAACAAAGACAACATGGGTTCAAATCCCAAGTCTGCTGCTTGCTATCTGTGTCACCTTAGACAACCTGTCCATCCTCTATGGGATCTCTACTCTGAAAGCTTATATTAGAAAATATTTGATGCTGGAGAAATGCCATTTTTGCTGTTGTCTGGCAATGGCCTAACTGGGCTTTTGAACAATTCAACAGTAG